GGGTAGGGGGTGGGGTGGGGAAAGGTTGTTTTCTTTGTTTTTGCTTTGTTATGTTTTCTTTACTTTTAAGTTTTTCATTTAGCAAGTGTAACCCTGTGCATATGATGACATGTTCATGCCACTCACTTGTACCTGTAGACTATTCACTGATTTTGTAAAAGGTACTCATAATAATATTCTCACTAATCTTTTTGTTTTGAAACGTTTATGAAGTCTTTAAGAGATCTCTTACGGTCACACTTCGCTGAATCGCAATATCTTGGGCTTTGTCACAGATACGGGAATTGGGTGTGGGGAGTAGGGGCTCTTCAACCAAGATAATTCATTGTCCAATTGCGATCTTTTGAAGGCCTACTTTTTCTACCATGTTCATCATCCACGACAAAATAAAAATAAAAAACCTAAAAGTGTACATGTATTACCTCAGCTACTCTAGAATTACAATGGTCTATCTGCTCAGTGCCTAGTTTTGAGAAATCGGACGTTAAACATTTTGAGTTTCACAACATGTCCAGCTTTTTCGAATGTAATTCTGTGAACATCTTGGTAACAACTCCGAATAATCTTACGATTTTGATAGAGCAGATACATGTAGAATACATTTGGTCTCTGACCTCATGGTCTCAGTAACTCAAAATGGCCAAAAAATGTCAGACAGAACTTTGTAATTCTAAAGTAGCAGTATTAATGTTTTCTATGGCATAGAATTGCTGTAACGCCCCTTTGCAACACCGTAAGTCTGTTTTAAGAGGTAGGACCTTTGAATTCAATGTCCTTCTCCGATAGGACAATGTCAAGTTGATGGAAAATCTTGAAAACACCTCTTACAACCCAAGTTCCGAAAAGAGGGCCTATTTAGACGTTTACAAAAGTGTTCTGCATTATTATAAACGCTTATTGAGAGACAATGACCTCAACTTTTAGTTACCGGTATCCTATGAGATGAAGATATATAACATACTATGATTACATTATACACATGTACATGTCATCGTATCATGCTTCCATATTATGCTCATTTAGCAATAATAAAACAAAGAAGCCTTCAAATAATGACGTCTCAATTTATTTTTGCACATCTGATCATTTTCTTTACAGTTAACTTTGTTCATTACATGGACTGCACCATTGTGATGTCATCATTTTTTCATACGCCATGTAACGGGAGGATATATGTATCTTAGTGTCGAGAGAGAAAAAGAGAGAGAGAGAAAAAAAAAGAGAGAGAGAGAGAGAGAGAGAGAGAGAGAAAGAGAGTGTGTGTGAGAGAGAGA